TTGTAAATGTTTCCTTCCCTTTTCTTTCATTTCTCTATTTTTTCCTTCAAACTAAACATAACCTAATGGTTGAATCATTTATCCACCACCTAAATAAAAAATGGTAGTTCTATTTTCAAGATTGTTTAGAAAAAACACTATAGGCTCATTCATTTTTCGATAAATAAGGATTAATCAATAGGAAAATTGACCAACTTTCCCTAATTCATTTTTCGATAAGTGGGGTTGATCAATAGTCCCTAATTCATTTTTTGACAAGTGTAGGTCCCATGAAAATTTAACTTTCTCCCAAATAACGTTTTTTGACAATTTACCCCAAAAAAATCTTACTCATCTCTTGAAGTGAATAAGTTAGTTTCCCTCTGGGAAAGCTGCCAAAATTAAAGGGATAAAAAAGCGCATTTAACAAGTTTTTTGAAACACAAAGGTTTAAGAGTAAATATGACAATAGAAAAAAATTTGTGCAAGTAAATTTCAATAGAAAAAAAATATATAAATAAATACATTTACCTGAAAAATATTTACCCAAATAAGTAACTTAACAAAAAACCAACAGACTATTAAAAAATTGATGAAGAACTTTCCTTTTACTACCCTTTTATTTAGATTTTGAGGGCTATCTTATCTTTGTGCTAAGAAGAATGAAGGAAACCTTTTGCCTTTGCAGATTTTCTTGCTCATTCCTCTTCTCTTTCCACAGGATTTATCTTCTCTAAGCTCTAACTACCCCACTTCACAGAAGTTCTTCCTCATCGTCAATATTATACCAATCGGCGTGTTGCTTCTAAATTCTTTTCGTTTTACATAGAAATATTCTCTTCTTTTTCTTCTTCGTCTCTAACCGCTTACTTTACAAGCAACAATTGTTCGTATCTGCCTATTAGATACTCTCCTTTTGTCCACCAGGTTTAACTACTCCCATAAATTTTAATAGCAGGACAATCATCGATTTTAGTTTACCTTTTCACATTAACCAGAAAGCTTTATTACATAATTTGATCACATTGATTCTTCTAAAAATATCTCAAAAGCTTGACATTCAAGGAGTCAACACAATCACCGAAAAAAATGTAGTCAATGTATTCTCAAGGTTTTCTTGATTCAACTTAATAAGATAAATTATGGAGATACCAGGCTCCTCATCACCACCATCCGAGTAATAAAAAATTTGAAAAAACAAAAAGAAATAAACCTTAGATTTATCAGTCACGTGCACATCATGTGCTTTCTTGGGCGTGTTAGAAAATTGTTTATATTTTGTCTATATGATTAGGGGTATTCATAAAAAACCGAACCGAAAAACCCATCAACTGATTAATCGATTGATTCGGTTCGATTTTAATTTGAAACATTACAAAAACTGAAGGAACCAGTTCAATTTTAAATATATGTCCACGGTTCGGTTAAACCCCCTCTAGTACATTTTAACAATTGTTAAATGCATGATTTTTAAAATCAGACCGAACTGGACTGCTGGATCGAAAAAACCAAGAATAAGTCAGGTAATCAGTTCCCTAAAATCGATTTTTGGCAAAAAAAAATAAAACCGTCGATTTGATCAGCGATTTGTTGACCTGGGTGGTCAAACTATCGACCTGAACAACGATTTTTTATCCTTCTTTATTATTTTTTTTAAAGTCAGCCATTCAAACTAAACGATTGGACCATTTGACCCGGGAAGTGGTCCCCAGAACGGTTCCCTATCCGGTCTGGTTTTAAAAACCTTGGTTAAATGTAACCGAAACCATCAAATAGACCAGCCATGCACGAACCAACCAGTAAACCTTCATCCGGTTGAGTATCACAAAATTAAACCAGAAATAAATCATTGATTTTTCCAACGTTTAGCAACAGCTGGCCCAGTTGAGCTTTTCGGTCGGGTTGGACATGACTCATTATGTGGGTCCACCGTCCACATGCTGTCGTCCAGGTTCTAAAGCCTTGAAATGAAGGTAGTTTGTGTTTGTCATCACTTCACTCCACGCCCATTCATTTATAGGAGGGTTTGGGTGAAAGGCCAATATTGTTCCACCATTTAGGACACTGTGTAACAACAGAAAATTAGCAAAAAGCAAAGCCATTCCCACGTGAAGAAGTAGAGGAAGGAGCATAAACAAGAATAATTAACACTCTAATTGAAAGCAACTTTCCACTTTAAATAAAAAGCTGGATGAATTCATCCTCAGAATTTCCCTGTCCCAATCATGCTTCCCTCCCTTTAAGTAAATTATTTCATTTTAATTAACAAAAGAAACGGATAGTGGGCATTTCCTTTTAGGGCCATTCTCATTCGTTGCTCAATCGCTTTAGGAAGAGCTTCCCATTATCATTACCTCTCGCTAAAATCCTGTGCCTTGGCTCATGAGACCTCAGAAAGGCACAAGGACCAAATTATTCTAATGGTTAAGGGATCATGGATCATCACAGTATCACACCCTTTAGTTAATTCGCCTAGAAGATCATTGTTTTGTGGATATCGAATACCTTTTAGCCTGGAGTTAGGTTTAAAATGGGAATGGGATCACTCTGGTCTCTGTATTTGGGGTGTAATCCATTTCAAGTTTTCTATATTTTCCATACTTCTATTGTTGTCTTGTCAACTACTCAACTCCTTGGCCCTTGCCAGCACTCCAGCAGACCGGGTCAGGCCAGTGCCAATCGACCAAGGCCTGAATCTGAGGAGCGTGCGGTCCATGTCCTTCCTGCCCGAACAACAAGCCTTTGCCCTTTGGCCGTAGTGCGCCCCCGCCATGGAATTATCTTCGTTTGACTCCAAATGAAAGTAAGTAGACGTGATGTGCTTCCTTTGAGATTCACATATGAATAGTGTATGAACAGAATCTCACATTTGAAAAGAATGAGAGGTATATAAGAGTGGCCCATAACCCAATATCTCCCCTCGCAACAGCTCTTAAGGGAACGACAGTTCTATAGCCAATTTAATTCATTTGTTGGGTATATTAGTTGAAAAAATCGAATAAGGTAATATTCAAATTCGATTAAATATTTAAATATTTATTTGATTTTATTTTATTTTGACCAATAATTATTTTAGATAATTAATAAATATTTTATTTATTTAAAATATATAAAGTATTTATATAATTTAATTGTTATATATAAATTATATAAAGCATTTAAATATTTTATATATTATATATAAAAATTAAATAATCGATCAAATTCGACTAAATTATGTCAAATTTCAAATTTAAAAATTGGACTTTTAAATACCGTTGCTAACGGATTATTTAAACTCTGGCCGGTTTGTTTTAGAGGCTTTGGCATTGTTCATTTTCTCTAAAAGCTTTCAATTAAAAGCTTTAACGGGATCTCACTCAAGTTATCTTCCACAGTGAAGATTTCCTTTTTTTTTTTCAATCACAAAAAGAACTAGCTAGAAATTGTTAGGTTGTGTCCAGTAGTTTATCAAAAACAAAGTGCGCTCAGATAACCACCTGGTTTTTTTTGCTCACTTTCTTATCAAATCAAACCTTTCAATCGCTCTGCAAGTTTCTAGTTCTTTAAAAAGTGGGAATTTCAGCTTTCAAGTAGACATCAATAATAAATATACGGGTCTCGGTCAGACTGGCCGCCAGCCCAGGTTAGGCTTGTGCTGAAAACCAAACTTAGCTCCCCGTATCAGATTCTGGCCTACCCCAAGATAAAGCCTGGATTTAAAGCCCACCAACCATTTAGCCTGGACTCTTCTACAATTCTATTCGTCCCTACTCTCATGCTAGAAAGAGTCGCCTACTTCTATTTTTATATGGAGCTACTTGGGTCACCCTGGAATGAGTACTTAGTCCTTGCAGGAGATTCTACTTCCACAAGTCTAATACTTAAATCAGACCGCTGTTGTGTTGACAAGCATTTTGATAACCACAAGTCTACAACACCATTGTTTTCTTCTCTTTGCTTTCATCTTAAACACATTTCAGAGTTTGAGATTTCCATGAATTAATTCCTGGAATTTTTTATGCATTAATCTGTTGTCACCATGAGCTAGGCTACACCAGAAAGAACATTTGATGATCCTTCATGAAGAAGACTCGGCTGCTATACAGAAGAGAGACCTAATAAAATGAAGTTGGAAACTTTAATAGATAAACAGGAATCTCCTTATTGCATGCATGCCAAGAAGAAAAAAATTAAAAAAAAGGGAAAGTAAAAGATCTTTCTTGAGCCATTGGACTGCTATTGCCTACAGGAGCTAATATAGTGTAACAACATATCTGAAATAAAATATAAAAGCATAGCTTTCTGATCAAGTACATAGATGCTTTAAATTATGAAAGAATGGGTATCCAACAGCTCATGGTTTCCATGGTTCATACTTCCACTTGAATTATTTTTATAGTTTTTTTGAATAACATTCCCTCCCCCTACAAAGTAGAGAGTACATTCCATTTGTTTTTATAAGAACTTTCAACCATGAAATGCCCATTCCCTCTACACAGTAGCCTCTGGGCATGACTAGAAAAAATCCAAGAGGCTCATTTGATACACACCCTGATTCACTGTTCTTTGAATTATTGTTGTTCATTGCTTGACCCCTACTATAAACATTTTGAGCTAGAAAGTAGGGCAAGGATAAGATAATGAAGCAATCACACTTAACAGTTTGGATTAAAGCCCTTTGATTAAACCTCCCATTAGAGATTTGATCATTATCTAATGCTAAAAATGTCATGAACTGCCTAAGAAAAAAACCACTTGCCTTCAGAGCATATATATCCATATTATGAACAATTTTGCACGATATTTACAGTACAACAACACCAAATCTTAACATAGTTTTGAGTATAATCAATTCAAGGTAGAAATATGTTTAATCATGTTAAAAGGAGGATTGGACCAAAAAGGCAAGAGGGCACTTCTCCATCATTTTGACAAATATTAAAATGTGTGTGTGTGTGTTGGGGNGGGGGTATGTGATAATAATTGTGATGATCTCTGCATTCAAACTTGCTTTCATCCATATTTTTTTAAGATTCTTCTCTCCACTTCCAAAGTTAGCTAAGCACTTGAGAATATTAAAATATTTCAGGAAGAAAGTTAAAAATAAGCAAAATGGAGCCTCAGGGACCGTTAACCAGCCGGCGCCAATATTCGTTATTCCACTTAAAAGTTAGAACTTTCCCACTCTTCCAGACTGCAAACTAATACACAAATGCTCATTTTTTGAACACAACTCCTCTCTCTCTCTCTCTCTCTCTCTCTCTCTTGTCCCTATATCAGACACTGCTAGCGAAAATATAATCCCCTTTTTTCTACCCCCTTCCTTTCTCTGTGACTGTGAGAAAGTACCGAGCTTTGGGATCGATAGACTGATCGGTCTATCACCGCTTCCTCCGATGGAAAATGGTTTTGCTTCTCCTCGAGGTGATGCCTTTCCAGCCGGGCTTCGTGTTCTCGTCGTCGATGATGATCCAACTTGGCTCAAAATTCTCGAAAAGATGCTTAAAAAGTGTTCTTACGAAGGTAATTTACACAAGAAGTATCAGTCCCTGTTTTTTGTATGTTGTATGTTGCCGACCAAAAGTTGTGTAACTTGTCTTCTATTTCTGAGTGATGTCTTTTATTTCTATTCCATAGTTAGGTTCTTTTGTACACTAGATCTGGGAACACGGTACGAGCAAATTATGTGACCTTTTGTTGCTGAAGATTATTTCCAAGGTGGGGTTATCTGATGTTGCTGCCTGTTAGAGTAAAACTTCTAAAAGCATTCATGGCTTAGGATTTCAAGTTCTGTAACTTGTCTCCTCTAGAACGCGATGTCTTTTATTGAACAGAGATGCAACTTGAAATGAATGAACTGTTACAGGATTAAACGTTTAGGCAGCATTCATGTTTGTTTATTTGTGTGTAAGATGGTAATCATTTTGACATCTAGAAAACTTTGTGGAGGATAACAAGAAACGGAAAGTATGCTTAAATTAGTTCCAAGAAAGGATATTAAAAGAATTTTATGGTTGTGGTAAGGAGCATATTAGTCGGGGTAAATCATGCTTAATTCGCTCCAAGGATATGAAATTGTTCTTTCTTGTCTTTGTGCAGTTGTTTTGTTAATTGTCAATGTAATCAGATAAATTTTCGTTCTATTTCAGAGATTCTTGAAAAAACCTAAGATATTTCACTTAATTATTACACGAGCAAGATGTAGCATCATATAGCATAGGACATAAAAGAACTAGCAGAACTTGTGAGCTGTAAATTTCCCATGGTGGAACCTTAGTATTACATAATTTTGTATTACTACTCTAAGTAGGAAACTAGGAATGATTTACCTGACTAGAGCCTGTCAAATTTTAGGAAAAGGTGGAATTTCAAGCCATCTCTAGTGAGTTTCCTTCCCCTTGTTGACACCATTCATATTAACCAGGATTTCTGACTAGGGAGCAGTTTCTGGTTTGAGCTAAGTTTGCCTATAGCTTCTATGGTGGTCTGAATTTGAGAGGCTTGTTAATTACCAGGTGCAAGATTTTTGTCATTTAAGTTGTGAATGATGTAAATGTGATTGTTCCAGTTCTCAAGCATTCATTTGCTAATTCCCTGTTCAGAAAACAGTAAATTTGTTGGGAGTGCAAAGTTACAAGCCTACAAATACTTGAGTCTCATGTTGTAACACAAAGAAGTAGGCAAAGTGTAATTGTGAGGTTGATGCCTAGGATCTAAATGACTGCCAACTCTTATAATGTTCTTGCTGAACAGATGAGCATAACTAAGGAAAGATCAATAAGTGATCAATTCCCTCTGTACTTTCATACATGTATCTAAGTTCCCTTGTCCTTTTCACTTTAACAAAAGAAATTCTAGTAAAATTGCTTGTTAAACTAGTGAATGGAAAAGCATAGTTGAAACCTGACCACAACTCTTAGCTAAAGTCATTATTCATTCTTTTGCAAGCATCATGGTGGCATCACAGAGGGACACTTTAAAGGGTACTTTCGCATAAGTTAATTGGATGAACATTTCGAGGATGAGTGCTACAAGGATTTGGGAGAGTCCAGTTTAAGAGTTTCGTTTTGGAGGCATTAAATAAAAAAAAAAAAAAGTGAAAAAACACCAGTTACTTCTAAGTCATGGGAAGAATCTAGGGTAACTGTTATAAAAATTCTCAACCATTCAGGAATGGAATAAGAATGGGAAATGTATTTTTAAAAATGAATTCTGAGAAGTTGCAACTGTCGCAATTTAATTTTGATGTGGAATGATAAATATCCTGGAAAATATGATGGCAATTGTGTCCTCGATCCAAGTAGGGTGGATTTGCTTTTTTTCCCTCAGGACATGAATATTTCTTAGAGAAATATATCCAATTTATTAGTAGGATACCTTTTTATTTTTCTTTTTTTTTTCAAAATACTTGCATGTTGTGCTCCCTTCCTCACCATCATCACAACAATGTGCTTCTATGACATTTTTGCAATATTTGTTGCTTTTGCCTGCTGCAGTGACCACATGTGGTTTAGCAAGAGATGCACTAGACATGCTTCGTGAAAGAAAAGATAGATTTGACATTGTAATTAATGATGTTAATATGCCTGATATGGATGGTTTCAAGCTTCTTGAACATGTTGGACTCGAGATGGATCTACCTGTTATCAGTCAGTTCTCTTTCTTGCAGGGTGCTTTCTTTTCTTTTCTTTTGACTATATTATCTTATCAAATTAAGCCTTAATTTGTGACTATACATATTCTATGAATCTGTACAGTGATGTCCGTTGATGGGGAAACAAGCAGGGTGATGAAAGGGGTTCAACATGGAGCATGTGATTATCTACTTAAGCCTGTACGCATGAAAGAACTTCGAAATATATGGCAACATGTTTTTAGAAAGAAAATTCATGAGGTGAGAGAAATTGAAAACCATGATGATGTTCAATTAATAAGAGGTGGATCAGAAGAATTTGAAGATGGACAGTTACTAAGTGGAGGCGATTTGACTTCACCAAAGAAAAGGAAAGATACGGAAAATAAAGAGCATGAGGACCAAGAATTCAATGATCCTTCTGCTGTGAAGAAGGCTAGAGTAGTTTGGTCTGTGGATCTTCATCAGAAATTTGTTGATGCCGTAGATCAGATAGGATTTGATAGTAAGTTCTATCAAGGCTTTCTTTCAAAATTATAATTTAATAGAAATGAATGATATGGAGCGGTTTGGTCAATTTCATTTCAGAACTAATGATATTTTGCTTCTGATATGTTTATTACTCCAGCAGTCATCCTACAATGCCTATGCAGATATATGATGTATAGTTTCTTTTGGCAGAAGTTGGACCCAAGAAAATACTAGACTTGATGAAGGTTCCTTGGTTGACCAGAGAAAATGTTGCTAGCCACCTACAGGTATATATTTCTCAATAAATCTTCTCCCAGGAATGGCATTTAAGGTGTCCTGAGCCATGCTTAAATTATGAGCAGTCTGTTAATATAGCTGCCAAGCAATCTTGTGGTTTCAATAATCTTAACCATTGTTTTTTTTTTTTGAAATAGTAGAAATTCTTCTGATTCTCCATTTGGTCTTTTAGATTCTGTTCCATCCTTGCTATTAAAATTTCTGAGCATACTAGAAGAACTTGCTGTCTCGTATTTTTGTGTTCCCTATCTAATAATATAGCTTATAATTGCTTATCCTTTTCTGCAGAAGTTATGAATTTTCCTTTTAGCTTCAAGATTGAAATTTACTGTCTATAAATAAGCTCCCTATGTTTCCATCGACTATGCCTTCATTTAGCCTGATATGGTAAATGTAAGAGTGAGAAGCACATGCTTCCAATAAAAATTAACCTTTCAATGATTTCAACAAGGATATTCCATGCTAAATCCTAAGTATACCTCTATTTTATTCTGTATGACCACGAAATATATTATTATGAACTATACACAAGAGATATATTGTAGAAATATCACTAACTGATTTTAGTTAGGATTCATGGGAAGGGGTTCTCATTTGCTCATAAGCAAATTTGTCAGGTGATATATCAATCATTTGAACTTTGTCTAAAGAATTCTCTTCAGCCTCAGTTTTCCATATCCTTCATGATGGAAACAAGGAGGCTCATCAGTTGGTCAGGACATGGCCTTTCCCTCTCTCACTCCTTCATGTGGACTATAATTCCTTCTTCTTTCTTGCAATCTATCATTGACTCTGATATGTAACCCAGGTTTTCTGTCGAATGATGCTTAGCTTTGTCCTTCAAAAAAGAAGAAAAAAAACCTTTGCCTAAAGATTGTTATATCCTACCAAGCATGAGGTCATTATGTAAAAACCTAACCTAGGAAGCAATAGTTAATAACTGATGATACTTTGGCTTAATCTACGAACTGTTTTTCAGAGAAGTGCTTATAATTTGCTTACAAGCTACATGCTGACAAGAGGGCATGGAGCCCACGCTAAGTTAAAAGATAGATGTAATGGAAACAAAGAACACAACAAAATAAAAATTAAAAAGAAAATCATTCCAGCATGGTAGTATTCTTCCATTTGTTCCAAGGTTCAAAATATTGATACGTCGGTAGTGGCATATCGGGCAGTATCAATAGCTTTTTTATTTTTTTTAGTTTTTTTTTCTAATCTGGTTCAGAGGGGCCGGTTTAAGGTCCACCCTCTGAACCGGTCGAGAACCCAAAACACCTCCCTGTAGGGGCATATTGGGAAGTCCCCGTTATGATACGTATCAGACGATACGGCCCGATACGTATCGATACTTTGAACCTTGATTCGTCCAAACCTATAAGTGTCAACCACGTAGATGGTTCATCATAAGAAAATTGCAATTGCAAGACTGGATAACAAACACTAGTCAACACTCCACATGATATCTTTATGTAGACTGTATGCTATTTTGGTTTCAGAAACCTCGTGGCAATCAATAATGTTTTCTTTTGAGTGATAGTGTCAATAATTAGGGAAAATCTATGGTATGGGAAGAGTTTTGACCAATCAAAACCCACCCATGAATTTTGATAAATAACACCTTATTGGCTACCACGTTTATGATTCCAATTGACTGATCAGAGGATTTTCAGATATCATATCTTTTCCATATCATAATCGGACCCCAATAATTAATAATGGCATCATAGTGATATAGTATAACTATCAGAGGTTGAGCATATTCGTTTTATTTTTGAATCTGGCATAATATATTTATTTTCTTTATTATTCTCATCAGACACAAATATCATAGCTTTATCTAGGAAAAATTGGGAACAAGTAGTGGGAAATTTGCACGCCTAATATCCTAGATTCTTGCATATAAGGGGAAATCTGACTTTGAAAAACATATTTGTTGTGCAGAAATACCGTCTATACTTGAGTAGGTTGCAAAAACAAAACCAACCAAAAAGTTCTTTTTGTGGGACAAAACAGTCAGATTTCACTTCAAAAGATCCTACTGGAAGCTTTGGCATTCAGAACTCGATTATAATGCGCCAAAACAGTGCAGGCAACAGCAGTTTTGGATATTGCGGCAATAAAATTCTTGTCCAAGATGTGGGCTCAGAAATCTATGAAAGTGACTTGAAAGGTGTCATTTCTTTCTTACCAGTCACAGAACCTAAGAAAGCTTTGGCTGCTGATGCTTCTATTCTTCAGAAGTCTAGTAATGGTTCTGGAATAGGCCCAACTCATTCTTTTGGGTCACTGGGGCCAGATGTCAAGTATAACATTCAATCACCAAACTGTTGGAATGGAGAGATTCCAGTGATGCAGTTTGCACAACCAAAACAAGAACAGGACCCGTATCGGGTTCTGGAGGATAGCTATGCACCTCTGCCACCATCGGGTGGTCCACGGGATCAAATCCAAGCTAATGGCCTACAACCAGCTCTATCTATTAATCCCAGAACTTCTGTTACAGAAAACAGTAAAGCCATCACTACTGAAATTGAGCCCTTGTGTACTGAATACGGAAGCAACCATGCTGGAGATATATCTCGAAAGAGACAGAGAATTGACTCGTTTTCTGTTGGAGGTGATACAGATGTAGCAAATGCCCGAGCCTTTGGCTACATGTCCACCAGTAATGGGTCACCACCTATGAAAAATCATAGCTTTGATCAGATTTACATAAATAACTGGGATTCTCCCCAACCAAATATAATTCCAGAAGGTGGATCAATTTTGATATCTCCCCACGAAGACTTGGAAATCCATTCACTTCAAGGATATGGTTACACTGAGAACGTTGGCTTCAACAACACGGAGTTTTTGACCTTTGAACATCCAGTTCCAATTACTGAGCCCTCAAATCACTTGATTGATGGATTGAGGTTTAATTATGATTATCCTTGTGACTCAATGGAGTACCCCTTAATAGACCGAAGCCTGTTCATAGCATGACTCCACTGTAGTGGAGTTTATCCTTAAAGATAAAAGTCACAGAGATCTTCTTCCAGGTTAGTCCGTCTTCAAGCAAAGTGCTTGTACTGGATGTAATAGGATGTGCCAAGGCAATTATTATTGACTGCATTTGGACAGGGATGCCAAAATTTGTACAATAGATGGAAGCAGTATAATCTTTACCTATGGTAAACAACAGATAATTATATCAGATGTGCTGCTTCAACTGCAAGTTTTGAAAGATGAAAGCAATTTTTGTTTTGATGATGTGCTTATTTTCATGCACACACTGACGCAAATGTGCGCCCACACACACAGAGTATAACCAACATAGGCCCGCTGTAGATTCTGTTGAATTTTAGTTTTTTACAGGAGCAATGCTAGTGAATGGCCTCATCATTCATGGAGCCTTTAAATCTCAAATGAGCAAAACATAAATACTGTCTATTTACAAACTCCATGAGGAGCATTTGCCTTTTTGCCAATAAAGGGTTCAGGTTTCCCATGTTAGTTCTAAGTTCTAACATCACAAGGTTGTGGAAGGCTCTCTTAATATATAATTCCTGATGACGAACATATCCTATGCTTTATACCCATTTTTGGTCTGGGCTCGGTGGAGTTGCTTCCCAAATTAAGCAATATTATTATGTCTACAAAGTACAAACTATTAAAATAATGAACCTTTTATCTGATTTCAAGAAAAAAAAAGGTATTCACATTTTGATGCTGACCCATTTCTTCTATATGTACTTGTAAAGCACTCAAAGACATTTTGAGATTGGAATTATTTATAGGTAACAAGCCAAATACATGATATCTCTGAGCTTTCTTTTAGTTCATCTCAAGAACACCATGAGTCTTGACCCAAAAAAAAATTCTAATATAATACATTCCATTAAGAAACAAATAGAAAGGAAGAGCCAAGACAAAACTCACTTCAAATTGATGGAGAAAGCAACTAATATAGATTTTGAATTTCCATTGGTAACCTCCACCATGATAATAATCCACTCTGGCAGCTACTGTATTGAACTTAAATCTCCTAAACAGTAGCTTAACAAATGTTACCATTAGAGATTAACGCTCTTCAATTGTGCTCCTTTTTTATGGATCTCTTCTATGGTGCTTTTCTGCTCACCACAAATCAATAATGCTCTTCTTGTCCCAAATCAATCAATGCATCAAAACTTCCTCTTACTAGTCAATGCTGGATATTTGGAGAAGCATTCTCATGGGTATTCTTCTTAGGTAGTGAACTAACAGAACGAGCTAGGGATCGGGTGCTCTTTCCCTTAAAGTAATTGGTGTTATCATTCTTGACTGGAGGCCTTCGAGGAGGGATAGAACTCATCTCCTGGACTGCATCAGAGTTTGGCTTCCTTCCAAGCTTTGGTGATCGAGGGCGTGTCAACGGAATCTGGAATGCATAGTTGATAGTAACAAAATGACAATTTTTGGATTAGCATGTAAGCAGGTCTAAAAATTAAGATTGCCGTAAGATGTAATATTTTCATTGAGGATCAACTTAAAGCTTTCAAGGAGAAGACATCTATGGACACCCAAAGATGAAGTAAAAAACTACACATGTACACAGATATCAACACGGAGCAAGCATGGCAAAGCACATTTACTTGACAGAGTAAGAACTAAGATGCACAACTTAGACTTAGAGAATGAACTTTGTCAAACCTGATAACTCTCTTCCAAATGGCAACAAAAACACTCAACTGAAATCCTTTCTCAAAGTATCTACTATAGTTGTAGACATACTTAAAAGGCAAGATGATTATTAATTAACAAGGCCAGGTAGTATGTTGTAAGATAGACAGAGATACCTTCTTTATCTGACACTTTGGTAGTTCTGTCTCCCGACGAAAATCTGGCATTGGTTTGGCCTTGAAGCTGAGGCTCTGGTGCAGCTTTCTAAGTTCTGTTTCAGCTTTTTCCTGTAAAAAAAGAACGAAATTAGTTTCTCTGAATTAGGTTGCAGGTATGAATGACATTGATACGTTAAAGAAGAAAGAAAGAAAGATAGATCTAGATAATCATATATGATTCGACCAAGTTACCAAACCATAAAGAAACTTCGGAAAACTCAGATCAGCAAGGCACTTTTAAAACATGTAGGAAGGCTCAGTGACTCAACCAAGTTACCAGAAAGCTGCATTTCATTTATTCCAGCTAAGGCTGCAACTTGGGCTAGGTTGGCCCAAACCCAACCCGAAAAGGTTGGGTCGGGTCGGGTTGATGCTCGGGTTAGGGTTGAAATTCATGAACCCGACTTTACTTCGAGTTGGGTTAGGGTTGCCTTAGGCAACCCGACCCAACTCAAACCCGACTCTATAGTACATGTCATATATAAATATATGTTATATGTAATATATAACATACATTGATTTGTTTAGATGCATGATATTTGTATAGCCCCCACCACATAATATATAAATATATGTTATATGTCATGTATTTCTTTTTAGATAATCACTTCACTCAATCCTAATCAGAAAGACTAAAACCTTAATAACATTATTTTATGTTTTTTGAAAATTTTATCTTCATCTTCTCTCTCTGTTGTTTGCCGCTCATAAAAGATCTATCATAAGTCATAACTCATAATAAACTATAGTCATTTCTAACACTTGTTTTTCTGAATTTTGTACCAAAAGAACAAAAAAAAAAAAACGTCAACAAACAAATACTAATGAAACATAGGGTTAACATATATATGTAATGAAAGTTGAGTTAAGATCTAAAATCGAGAAATTCTATGAAGTTTTAAGGGATGGAAAGAAGGTTGGGTTGGGTTAGGGTTGAAGGAATTTAGTTAGGGTTAGGGTTGGGTTGGTCGGGTTGGGTTAGGGTTGGGGGTTTAGAACATAGGGTTGGGCTAGGGTTGGCCTCAACCCAACCTACCCGGCCCGACTTGCAGCCCTAATTCCAGCTATGATACCCAGACACCATATTTTGGCATAGACACTGATACAGGAAATGGGGATATGACTCTCCATTTCCCAAAATCACAGAAATGAATAATTATGTCATGGTCATGCATCTATATTTAGTTTTTACAGCCCAAGTATCATTTCTGAAAATTTGTCTTATAATGTGTAAAGATTAGTATGTTTTGTTAAAAACACATCATATTACATATTTTAAAAGTGTTAATGCTAAGAGTATATCTAGAAGTTCAAAGGTAGTATCTGGTGTCGTATTGGGTATGAATCACATCCATCACCAGAACTCTAGATAAGTAAAGGTATCCAGGCAAATGTCAAGCAACAAAGTGTAGGCAGCCCCAAGCCAACCATTATCAAAGCTAATATTAAGTCTTGCCAAGCAGAGGGGAAAAAACACTTGGATCTTGTTTGAAGCTGCACCTTTTGTGCCTCATTGGCATTGAATCTCTCCTCCAACTTCTGAGAAACCAAATTATCAGGAAGTAAGAAAGCAAAATTAAACAAATGTATCTAAAACAATTTTATTACATTTAATGCAATAATCAATTAAAAAGAGCTAATGAATTAGGCCTTGCCTCCTTCCTTTTTGCAGCTCTTTCATCACTCCTTAAGGTAAAAGGAGAAGATACAATTGAGGGCCGTCTTATGTTCCCAGAGGCCCTCAAAGATTTTGAATGGCTGCCAAGCAAATAGTTGCCAGAGTAATCAGAAATGTTATTAAGGAAATGCAATATAATCATAGTAATAAGTCATTTTTTTCTACTTTTCTTTTTTGTGTTTTTTTTTCTTCCTTTCATTTGTCTTTTTTTTCTTTTTTTCTTTTTTTCTTTTTTTTTTTTGGGGGGGGGGGGGGGGGGGGGGTAGTGGGACCAACCTAGGCATCCTCTTAGGCCACATCCACCTAGTTGGACACTCACAAATCTGATTTTTTGCGATGTATTAGAATATGCACAATAATATGACAAAATCCCAGAGAAGCTCTATAACAGATGGTTATCATCATCTAATTGGACATGGTTTCATTTAGAAAACCTCTTCCGTGCATCCCATCCTGCCACATGAAGGGAAGCAAAGCAAGAGGAGGGGGTTGAGTGCGTGTGTTCGTGTGCACGCTAAAATGCAAACTAAACATTCTTATCTGCAATAAATTATTCATGTTTCCTAGCATGTAAAATAATATTTTTTACTTGAAAATTTATCCTGCAACATCATTATGTCAAGGCATTAACTTTCTATGGAGGTAAAGCAAATGGGGTTTTCATTTTTTTTGGGATTAACGTAGTCCCATGCAGATACGCAGGTCATTTCTGGAGTTATATTACTCTGGCTTAGACAAACAAGAACAATGTGATAGTGTGATAGAAGAACTTACCCAACAGGGAGGGATTCTGTAAGTGCGTTAGCTTTTCTGGCTGTAGAGACAATATGATCTATTGCTCTTTTACTCCTGTAAATATAAACAATCAAGATTAACATTAAAGTAATAAATTTCTTAATCCGTTAATCATGTATTGCAATTGGCATTGGCACAACTTGAGAAACTATCTTTTGGAGGCATACTTACAGAATTGTGTGAAATGTAATACCTTTTATTTTCTAATTCAGAGGTTGTTGAAGAAACTTTTGGTAGCCCATTTGTAGAAGCCTGTGGTTTGAAAAGAAGCTATTAGTGTGCATGACAACTTTTGACTACAAAATATATATAAATGCATTGAAAGTGAGTTTGGAATAAGCACCCTAGTTGGAGTACTTAGAGGAACTGAGCGGTGTTTAGCTGTTTTTGATGAATTTCCTGTCAATCTTGAATTTCCTATCATTTGGGGAACTGGAGAAGACTTTTTAATTTCACCGGCAGGAGATGGGGCCAAATTGATTGACATATGAAGTGATTTTGGAGTTGATCGCTTCTTATCTACCAAGTCTCTTGCAGAGTTCTTACTGTTTGGAGTGGTGCTAATCTCCTTTCTTGAATGCACAGGAGTTATATATTTCAAAGGGGGAGATGGAACCTTAGATGCTTTACTGATAAATGATGATTTTGAGGAAGAAAAACTGGGTTTCTTCTTGGTTTCTGAAGATAATGTCTGCTGACTAACGGTGGAAATCTCCTGGAACATCTAAGAGAAATGAGTTGTTGCAACAAAATCTAGATCATAGTGTTAAGAAAAATAATCACGAAAGGAAAGCGAATAAACACTACTACCTCTACAGGTGACTTGTCCACTTGAATGGTTTTACTAGTCTCTACCTCAGTGATTTCATTGTGGTTGACAGCATCTCCAAGTTTATTTGTTGAACTGACAACCATCTGATTCTCCTCAACAGCCTGGTCTTCTATTACTTTATCTACTAGTTCCTCGTTAGAAGTTTCCAGCTCACCTCTTTCAACAATAGAATTGCATCCATTTGGATCAATGGTGGAATCTTTGTCACTATTGGGACCGTCAACTTCCTGTGGCTCATCATGGGCCATATGGCTATTAGATCTTGCCAGTTCTGTATCCAGAGCCGCAATTTGTTGATTTCCATCCTCAGTATCTGGTTGGGGAATGTTGTTAGCTGTAGCATTTGCCTGCTCAAGCAATGCGGTTTCCTTCTTGGCAGCGATTCTCTTATAACGGGCTTCAAAATACGCCCTCTTCTGAGCTACGGAACCAGGCTTAGAGTATTTCTCCACCTCTTCTAAGTACCGGTTGTGAGAGAACGATGACCATTTCTCCCAATCCAAGGACTCTGACATGAACCTTCCGAACGAGATTGATTCTCCAAGCGCATATATGGGGTTCCCCTGTAAACATAGAACATTTCACTGGTTCACGGAAAAGCATGCATTGCCAGCTGCAAATAAGATCAACCTCGAAAAAAATACATGTACCGAACAAAGTCCCGACGATCATGGTGTTTTGTGGGAAAAGTAAAGAAGCAAGAGACGCTGGTACTATTTATTTAAGCTTTCAAGTTAAAGAGATAATAAAAAATGCAGAGACTAAACATGAGATGACGCACGGAGCACAAATGCAAAGCATACTCATCAATGAAAAATCAAAAACTTCAGTAAATCAAGAAACCACTCAACAGAACCGTGAAAGTTAAACCAAAGAGAAATGGGTCTTTGAAGAAGGTGGTTTGTTATAACGATAACCCACGAGGAACCCATTAACAAAAACTTGAAAATGCAAAAAGAAATGAAATGGGTCTCTTAGCCCCTGGCTGTTACCTGTTTGGCTTCATTGGAAGAGGTGTTAGTCGCGTGAGAGAAGGATTGCATGAGACAAGCTGATTCCCCCATGGTTTAGCAGAATGGAATTCAGAATCTTTGTGTAAACTCTTCTCCTTCTCTTCTTCTTCTTCTTCTTCTTCTTCTTCTTCTCTGCTCTTCCTTGGAAAGTAATGACCCTAAAGAACACTCACTTTAATTTGAATCGCAAGTTATGGGTCCATGTTGTTGCCAGGGTAGACCAGGAAGTGGAAGGATATTCGGACGACTTCGGGAAGAGAGAGAGAGAATGGTGAGAAGTGCAAAAAAAGAAAAGAAAAACCCTCTTGGCTCTTGTGGGGGCGTTCATTGGTCATTGGTGTTAATATCACTGAAATTTGAGAGCACACCTGGTAGGATTGAAAACTGAAAAGCTCTCCATCTCCAATATTTGGTTTCATTCATGCTTGGTTGGTATAGCCGTATAGGTCCCACCATTCCATCCATGCGAATGCGAATGCGAATGCGAATGCGATGAAGTTAACGTCTATCTTTTGCTAGTTTTGCTTTACGCATTCAAAATCGAGGGAGACAGAGACGACAAATGGAGACAGTAGACATCATCTGATCATCTCTCTCTTCTTCGATATAAAATAATAAAATATAGCTGGGGCTGGCTAATTTGAATTCGAAAAGATAACGAAATTACAAGAATAGGTCTTTAAAAAGCATAAGCATGCTCTGATTATGGATTTTTATAACGTTAGTAATAGTAAATAGTAATAGAATGTAAGCTAATCAGACGGACGAAAGAAAGAGAAAAGTAAATCCAGCCAAAATAAGTATAAGGTTAATTTTGTAATTTTATTTTCTTTTGAAAAAACAAAATAACAAAACTGTCCTTTACCTCTTTCCATTTTCCAATGTAGAGATCAACCGAGTCATAATACCAATTGTGACCCATTAAAATGATTTAATTTTTAAATTTAAAACCCTGGTTTCCTCTTTCCACGTGTTCTGCACGTGATACCCATTAGTACCAAGTACCAGGTTCTTAATGGTGAAAAGCAAAACCGAAAAAGGAGGAGAGCTTTGTTTTCATCAAAAGATAAAAGATTCGAGTGTGAAGCGATGAAACCCAACGTTTTAAAAAACGACCCAGAAACGAACCGTTCTGGCCACTGGTTTATGGGTCGATAGTTCGATCATCCGGTTTGAATGGATGGCTCGTTCTGACAGAAAAATTAAAAAAATAAAAAGCAGTCAAAACTGTTGAACGGGTTGACGGTTTAATTGCTTGGGTCAACAGTTTGTTGACTTTTCAACGATTTTTGACCAAATACTAGATTTGGGATAAAATAGAACCGGTTGCTTGGATGGTTTCTGGGCCAAACGGTCTGACCATCTGAATCAACAGCGGTTCCAAAGTGTTGATGAAGCCAAGGTTGGATTCAGTCCTCCCAAAACCGTGCCTCACACCCTCTTCACAGAATCACAGCCACTTGCAATTATGTATGAGGAATATCTCCCTGATTATAGGTTTTTATTTATAGGGAGATATTTGCAATTCACAAATGCAAGTGACCGTAAAAACAGTGTGAATATGGTCCTACATAACTGAGTTTATGTTTAGGAGTGTTTAAAAATAAGTGCTTATTTAAAATAAATATTTATTTAAGGAGAGATTATATCATTAAGCATTTATTGGTATTTGTTAAATAATTCCGAAATAAGTATTTATTTTAAAAATAAAGACATTTTTTAAACTCAAATTTCCAATTGTTTTAGGTGCTTATATAATAAATACTTATTCAAATTTTTCTCCCAAAATTGTCGGAATAAATTTAATTTTTGCCTTCTGTGATGGCCCAACGAGCTTAATTGATGAATCCATTTAGAGATCTGACGGCTCCTTCTTTTTCGTTTTTTTTTTATTTAGATTTGAACTTTTTCCTTGTATAAAAAGGCAACCAAAATTACTTCTGGACTCCGGTTATAAACCGTTGGAACCATCATTATCAAATATTCAAATATGAATGAAACAACAACGATAATGAACCATCATTATCGTTTAGAGAGAGAGAGGGAGAGAAGTGAGAAGGGGCATCTATCGTCTATGTTTGTTGGGATGGAGATGGAGCAGATGGTGGTAGGGATGTGGAAAACTGAACCACCAGTTAGTTGCAACATCAGCGTTAACAGAATGCTGCTGCTCAACAGTTGGACACCGGACAATACAATAATGGACACACACACACCCCTTTTCTTGTTATTTCTCTCTCGTTTGCAGTTGCTGTACGTTTTTCGAGTTTACTACACGTGAATTGCACGTGACTGACAAATTTAATAGACCGAATAGCATTGATACCACCTGTTTTGTGCTAAGAATGTAAACATCCAAACCGGGAATCAAAATATTCTGGGGCCCCCATGCATTGTAATTCATTCCATCCTTCAATCCTTCATCCATCCAAGCCATTTGGGAGGACAGGACTCTCTCATGAAAGGCTCCTGATTTTGCAAGGTGGGCCTGGCACAAAATAGCCGAGAATTTAATGTTTGGTGAAAACTGAAAAATCTAGAAAGCCCAAATGTATTTTCATTGAGCCAAGAAATTGCCTTTCTGATGAAACTGATTTTAGTAGCTTCCTCAAAGCCTCTCAATAAAAGCAGTTCAATCAAAGCTGAAGCGAGGCTTTACACTTTACAGACTGCAATCCGAACTGTAAAGTGTAAATTCCTCTGTTCAAAATAACTTAAACGAACGAACAAAAAAAATAAAACTAAAATTCTGCAATTGCATCTATCTACTTGCGTTGCTTGTCGATTCGCCCACTCCATTCATTCCAGCCTCCACAGCTTGACCCGTTGCGCAGCAACTGGATGGGCAAGTACCACCCGTCGACCGAACATAAAACAGGCATCGTGTGATCACTAAGGCTATGTTTGGATTGCTAGAAAGAGAAAGAGAGAGAGAGAGGAGGAAAAAAAAGAAAGTTGAGGAAAATTTCTTAGGAAATTTCACAAAAATCCTCAACTTTTTTGCTTCTGTTATTTTCTATCAAATCAAACACAGCTTTAGGAAATAAAAAGCTAAGTAAAAGAAAACGATATAATGACTAATCTTAATTTTTCCCCACAATTATCAATTAGAATTGTTGCATCCTACCAAATAACACAACTAATTTATAAATAATAATCCAACAATTAAAATGCTTTTTTTGAGACGTTACCGTCCAGGGCTTATCATCTAGAAGGGTCCCAACCTCCAAACAATCAATTAACTACCAGTTAATGGACTAATCAGACCTGAATAACATACAATAATTTGGTAAAGGGAGGATTCCGTACTCAAAATTCAATCCTACTCGGGGAGTGGTCAGTGTGCCTCAAACACTTTCTCTGCTATCTGTTTTTCATTTGACAAAATAATAATAATAATAACACATTATTATTGTCTGCTATGTACCATACCAGCAACCCTTCAAACGCAGCTCAGCAGTCCGTATGGCGTTGTTCTGTTAAATACAAGCTCAAAGTTTACAGTGAACATACTGCTTTAAGGTTTTGACTAATGAAAAGCTCTGCAAAAAATACTTGTTTTGTCTAGCCATCTAACTCCACAGGGCCAATTCCTGCACCTCATGTGTTGCTAGTGGTTTGATCCTGATACATATTCGTTTTTCATTTAATGCAGCTCTGACTTGCATTGCCTAATAGAAAAATATTGCAATGGATGAAGGTCATGATCAGATATATTGCCAGCCATGATACTCCATGCAACAGACAGTTCATATGATGCCACTTTCTCTTGGAGCCTATGGGAGAAGAATAATGGCACAGTCCCCAATACAATCCCCAACTGTGCAGAACAAGGCTGTGTAAGAGTCCATTCCTTAGGAGCTACCTTTGTCCAGTTTGATGCTTGTTTTTCTTGTTGCCTCTCTTTCTGGAACTAGTCTCCCCTGCTTCTTCTTCAGCCTTCTGTTCTGCCTCTAATATGGACAACTGCAGTTTTGTATATATAAAGAATAATAGCACATTATCAGCCCGAGGGTGGAGGAGGTAAGGAATGAATTCCATTAACATACATGGCATTTCGGCAGAAGCCTTCAGTGCCATTACAAGATTTAAGTGGAGGATCACCTCATCAAGGATCGGTTTGAGCTCCCTGTATCGAGCTTCAGCAAGATCAAATCCATCTTTACGAAGCTCCTAAAATTTCCAACATAATCAAAATCAGTGCCATGGTGTGTGCACAGAAAACAGTTGTTAAAAAGATCCTTTTTTTATGAGAAAAAGTTGCAAAGGTCAAATCCATATGCTGTAACATCTACAATTATCATCTTTTCCTATATACTTAAAACATGATGCCAATGGAAAAGCAAATATTCGATGGCCTTTTCCAGGATGCTTTCCTTGTTCACTTTTGAACAGCAAGGATGTGATTAAATTCTGTTGTATAGTAACAAAATTTGGGAGTTGGTACATGCATCCTTGCTCAATATTAATCCTGTCAAAATACATTAAGTGTTTTGCACCATAAACACAGATTGCACAAAAAAAGAACTTACATGTCTAAATGCACATCAACCCAGTGGCTTATATTCTTACCAAAACATTGACAAATAACAGATGCTCTTCCACTGATACTTTCATTGTTTATGGTTATAGAGCATAATTTGTTAATAGAATTTTTAGTGCATCAATTGAACACTTTTACATATCTAGATGGTCCCAACTGCTCTACTGATTCGTTTTATAGGTCATATCATTTATCCACAGCTGGAGAAACAGCAGTATGATGCCTATATTTAAGAAAAAAGGTGATATACAATGTTGTAATAATTATTGGGGAATTAAACTTATGAACCACACTATGAAACTTTGGAAAGAACAATTGAACAAAGATTACAACTTGAAACGTGTATTAGATAACTAATTTGGCTTTATAACAGGGAAATCAACCATGGAAGTTATATTTCTTTTGAGAAGATTCTTAGAAAACTTCAGAGAGAAGAAGAAAGATCTTCATATGTTGCCTATTGATCTAAAAAAGGCATATGATAGAGTACCTAGAGAGATAATATGGTGGGTCTTAGAAAAGAAAGGTTCAAAATAGATATATAGACCTAATTAAGGATATGTATGAGGGGGCAACAACCAATGTCAAAACAACAGAGAGAGAATTCAGATTTTATAGTTTCTATGGGTCTTCACCAAGGTTCAGCGCTTAACCCTTATCTTTTAGCACTGATCATAGATGAATTGACCAAACATATTCAAGAGAAAGTTCTATGGTGCATGTTTGCAGATGACATTGTTTTAATTGATGGAACTAATTAAGGATTAAATGCAAAAAGTAACCTTATGGATAAATGCCTTATAAACAGGAGGCTTTAAAATAAGTTGGACTAAAGCAGAATATATGACATGTAAATTTAGTAATAATAGGAGTTTGAATCAAGATCAAGGCTAAAAATGTCAATGTCGATGGAAATGTCACTTACCAAAGTATAGGACATATGTCCGAAATGTCAAGGGGAAATATTGTAAAAATTAGAGACATTGTGGAAATATTATGAAATATGTGGAAATATGCAAAGATATTTTGTAAAATGATAAAAGAAGCATGAATACATATTTCTAGACTATTATCTTATTATGAAATATGTGGAAATGCATTTTGATGTTTTTACAAGGTTATCTGATATTTTCTTTTCTTATTTTTAATTCTGATTTATTATAAATTCTAATATATTTATTTCACACTAGTAAATAGAAATACATTTATTCTGATTTTTTAAATATTAAAGTTATAATACATTATGTTTTATTATAAATTTAATAAACTGATTCTCCTTTTTGTAGTATTAAGATTATGATAAATTCTGATTTCTTATAAAACTTAATGAATTTATTATGATTTTTAATACTAAATTTATAATAAATTATGATTTAGTATAAAATTTATTATGATTTTTTATATTAAATGTAGAATATGATTTATTATAAAATTTAATAAATATTTTAAAACATACTAACTGTTAATATTTTATTACTTGAAAAATATTTTATGTTTTATATTATAAAGTAATTAATTTATTCTTTTGTTTTTATATTTTGTTAATTCTTTTTTATAAATATTTTGTTTGAAATATTAAATAGAAATTATTTTGGTGATCCTCGACATCAATATATGTCGGGCGACATTTGAAACCATGATCAAGATACACTTAGGATTGGAGACCAAGAGATAACTCAATGTGACCATTTCTGGTACCTTAGTTCAATAATTCATAACAACAGAGAGATTGAGGAGAATGTCACCCAAAGAATTAGAGCAGGATGGGCAAAATGGAGGGGTGCATCTAGGCTTTTATGTGATAAGTGAATACCACTTAGGTTAAAAGGAAAATTCTACAAAACAGTTGTAAGGCCAGCTATGTTGTATGGAGCAAAGAGTTGGGTAGTCAAGAAACATGTCGAGAAAATGAATGTGGTAGAAATGCAAATGCTAAGATGGATGAGTGGAAAAAACTAGAAAAGATAGGATTAGAAATGAAGTTATTTGTGGAACCTAGGAGTAGCTCCAATAGGTGATAAGATGCATAGAAGAGCACCAACTACACCAGTTAGAAGCAATGTTTTAAAATGCGGAGGCGTGACGCGAGGCGTTCCACTACCTAGAGGCGTGAGGCATAGTTCATAATGCAAGAGGCATAAGCCTCCTTAAGAAGAGGGGGGTTAGGAGGAGGATGAAGAGTAAGGGGGGATCTCATTTTTTTCTTTCCCCTTATCTTTTCTTCCCTTCCCTTTCCTTTTCTTTTCTTTCCTTTTCTCTTTTTTTCTTCTCTTTCTTTTTCTTTCCCTTCCCTTTCCTTTTCTTTTCTTTCCTTTTCTCTTTTTTTCTTCTCTTTCTTTTTCTTTCCTTTCCTTTCCATTTTTTTTCTGTCTTTTTATATAAGATGTGCATGAGGCGCATGAGGCATAGCCGCCTCATGAAAAAAGCGCAAGAAGTGATTTTGTTACATATTGAAGGGGCTAAAAGAGCTCAGGGTAGACCAAAAAGGCCATGGGTAGAAGTAGTAGGAAATGATGCTTTAAATAGAATGGATTGGCAAAACAACATTCATGTAGACCCCATATTGTTGTGAGAAGGCATGGATGATTTATTCACAACAGACAAAATAATATTGTATTATGTCAAAACCAACCTATCCAAAGTTAATGAAGTCATCTATCTCAAGTCATTATCTTTTACTCATTTGTTCTTTCAAGCCTATTTAATGAAATGGAAAACAAAGTACCAAACATAACAAGTCATGGAAACCTTCTTCCACGCCCCCCCCCCAAACCCCAGATTCTCTTCTAAGTTAATTGTTTAATAGTAATAATGCTTTTTGATTTCATACATGATAGGTTAAAAGCATTTCATATATATGTCTCTACTTAAAAAAGAGTTTCCGTTGGTAATGTTTTGAAATAAAATTATTTAAAAGCCGAAGAATCACAAACAATGATTAGTGAAGATTTTACAAGAATTTCTATTAAAGTATTTCATTTGCTTCTCTTCCACAAAAGCTCCACTTTCCCAAAAAATATCCTAATTTTTTTACCTATTTCTTCTGATGATTGACTGAAGCTCTGATCAAAAACATAGACCTTGATCCTATTTCCTGTTCAACAAGTATAGCAGCTCTATTGTTCTAATGAAGAGAGCCTATGATAAGCTTTTTGGGAAATTTTCAAAGGAACAATTTCAATGAAACTTTTCCATTTCTTATTTTTACTATGTTCAACTATGTATTCCCCCCATCCGTAGAATACATTGATTGTACAGAAATGGCCATAATAGAATTTCTGCTATTAGTAATGGTACAAGTAATTAAATAAAATAATCATCTTAATTATCATGTTTATAACTTGATAATGAAAACAATCAATCACTTAATAACTTTATGAATTACAGTACTGAAAATATGAATGAGAAATAAGACAGTGCATTGGAAATATTTCCAAAAGGGAGAACTGACCTTTCCAGTGTGCTGAGTGTGCTCATGTGCAGCCATTTGCCAGTACAAATTTGTTCGTTTATAGAAATCCCTCAAAGATTCTCCAGGCTTGACAAATGTTTCATATAAACAATTAATAGGTGAGGTAAATGGATGAAAATACAATAAGAAATATAGTTCCAAAGCTACATTTACGCAGAATTCGCAAAATGAAGCTAAACAAAAGGAGAAGGATGGGTCCTTTAAACCTTATTTTGTATTTCTTACCATTCTAAATGCCTTCTTTTGACATTCCATAAAACAAAGACTTCAAAGACCACCAATGAAGTAATAAGACAGTATATGAAATGTCTTATTTGGCATGGCTATGCATGACTGGGTTTATATATCTAAAAGAATGCAGTTGCTAACAAGTAACATAAGTACATTTCAGAGTTGTGACATAAGAAATATAGGCCTCGCTTGGCATGTCTTTCCGCGCAGGCGGTCAGCTTTTTAGAAGCCCGGCAGCTCGCTTTTTGGTCTTTCTTGGTTGGGGGAAGATCTTTCCGCCAAAAGACCACACCCCAAAAAGACACGAGAAGCTTGACTTGAGCTTATTTCGGGAAGCTAGAAATGGAACTTCTCGCCTTTTTTCATCTCATCTTCGCACGGAAAGACGCCTCCAACCAAACGATCTTTGGGCTGCCAAGATTGTTATGTAAAAGCTCACTACGCCTTTTGGCTGTCAGATCTTCCGGAAGATCTTTCAAAAAAGATTTGCCAAACAGCACCATAATAAGGCAATTATACACCCAACCAAACACAATTTCCTACAAAGTGGTAAAGAGGAATACCATGGGAGTTCTCTGTGAATCAGAAAGGCCAAGACTAGCCCTGATCTGCTCTATCCTTCCCCGTTTCTCCTTCCTACGCAGATTCTTTTTCTCACCCTTCAAAATAGCAACTGCATCTCCCATTTCAAGTGATTTTGCATCATCTTTTCCAGTCTTTTCAAGCATGACAGGAAAAAAGAACAAAAAAAATAAATTGAGAACTGACACATTAAAGATAAAACTCACTTCAAATAACTAAAATAGATAAACCATGCAGAAATATCTCTAAGTTTGCCTGATGGCGTAATCTTAAAGAGTATGCTTATATGACCAAAGAATAAAGTGTAAAAAGGAAAATTCAAGTCCTAGAGGTGCATCAGAGAAACTGTTGGTGCAAGATTCAAGAAAAGTAAAGGAATAGAAAAAGAGAACAAAAAAATAGCTAAGTCGGCCCCTTTAATCGTTCTTGTATTTAACCCCACATGCAGGAAAGATTTACTCATAATAAGCATAATAAACATGGAACCTATCTAACATACGCAGAGTGCAAAGAGAATCATAAATGTGTATTGGAAGTAAGGGAGGCACCTCCTCTTCATCATCACCATCATCTGTCTCATCACTGTTGCTTCCACAATCACTTTCTTCATCTTCACTTTCATCCTCATCTTCATCTTCATCTTCTGAAAGTTCTAACCACTCAGATTCAGATGCCTGAAACAATAAACAATAAAATCACAAAAATCACCATAAATACCACTACCCTCACTAGGTCAGTTTAACAGCAGCTTGCATTTGTGGCAATGACAGAAAGAGGTAAGTTAAAATGGAAATAATAGATTTACACATGTAGCTCAACTTGTAACCCCTACTTACAAAACCAGATTCATAGCAATAATATTAAATATAAGCTCCAAAAACCAAGAAGGATGAATGAAAAGACCACTAAAAATTTAAAAGCATATCTATAAAAGATACCTTTTTTATCAATAACCAGCCCTTCTATTAATTAATTTAAGGGGGAAAGTACCCGATACAACCCTTAATTTGAGAGAAAAAAGTTTTTATCTCCAATTTCTAGCCATTTATCAATACAATGTTATAAAATTTCCCAAAAAGATTGGTCTCTCCCAGTCTCCCTACCCTTTGTTTTGCAAGTGAACCAGCCCATGCTATTTGCATCTCTTTGAAGCCACTGCACCATCCTTTAAAGCAATTCTATGAACAGAATTGCCTGGAATGTGATGTCAATTTAGAGCTTTGAAAAAGATGTTACAAATCAACCCATCTTTTAAAATTTTCCATTTTAAATATGCAATTGCCTGGAATAGAATGACTGATTCAATATCCTTTAAAGAGATTTACAAGCTTTTCTTGTCAAGGAGTATGCAAAAGTAAATAAAGGAAAAACTAATACCCTTTTTTTCTCAAAAAGAAGTACAATAAAAGCATTGTAACTGTCTTGATCTATCTATTTTTCTTTTTATACTTTAACCACAAGCATTGTAACAATCTTAAATACATTTTAACCCATCCTCCAGTGTTTTCTAGGCAAATACCAGAACAGAGAGCTGAAGGAAATTGAAATATAAAAACAACCTGGGAACACTCAAAGATACTAGAAGAGAAAAAGTCCTTTACCTCCTTGGCCCCAAGGTAGATATCCACAAGATCAGTTGATCACCCATTTAACTTAACTACTACATCACTAGAGCTTGATGCAGGTGAAAGGGTTTCCTAACTGGATGAGGCCATTATCAAGAATCACTTGTGCAAACTATTGGAGATATTATGTTCATTCCAGTCCAACAGTCAAACGCAGATTTGCCTCTGAACAATTTTCAAAAGGAAAAATATAAATACAGAAGAACTGTAACAAACCGGTATGATGCACTTCCACTCATCAAGTTTGCTGAGATTAAGAGTGTAAAGATCATCAAGTGTAACTTCTCGATCTCTAACCTCCATCATGCCCCCATAAAGGTATAATGTATCTTTTCCAACAACCATGCAAGAATTTATACGACCACAAGGCTTCACCACCTAAAAGATGTGATAGATTAAAAAATCAATAATTGAAGAGCAGGGAAATGAATGGCAATGAGATTACTTGGCATCCACTATAACAAACCTCAGGTGGAATGCTTGTTTGTGGATCAGTATCACATGCCAAAGGCTTTGAATTAGATACACTGGTACAACCACCAACAGTAACCTTCCTTGTTATATGATGAGATATTTCATCAATATCATTTTCCATGTCAACTTCTTCTTCATAAGTATCCAAGTTCACATTGCTTCCAATTGTTTCAGGATCCTCCATATCAACCTGACTATTCTCATTGAGACCATTACATTGTTGATCTGAATTTTTCTTCACCTATAAATCCAATTCAACAAGAACCAGAGAAGTATGGAATTACTATAAGAGTGCTGGCCCTCAATGAATTTCAGATCAGAAAATTATTTGCCTAATACAAAATACAAAAGCCACAGTGACTTCAACACAATGCAAAGCATCTGAATATAGCTAGAGAATGTTTTCACCTACTCAGCTCTTTCAACCTACCCGGAGCAGATCAAACAAAATATTGAAATAATGCTTAGTGGCAAAGAATTACATCACTTGAACAAAAGCACGTAAAATATTAAAAAAACCAGATAACACTATAAGAAAATAAGTCACCATGTTTGCAGGTGCTACTAATACAGATATTTATGTCCAACTAGACACTACGTGCTTGCATCTTGAATGTATCCATAGAAGTACCTTAGATTTAGTTGATTTCCCCTTGCGTAGTTCCAGCGGGTACCTAAAACAAAATAGAAATTAAAATTTTAAAATGGAAGTAACAGAATTAAAAATGTAAAGCCTTTTTTTCTGCAGTTAAAGCATTGGCAGAACAATAACATGTAGAGAAGTTTCATCCTTAATGCCCTTGCTTCTTGTCTTCCCATTTTGGTCATATTTCTTATAAGAAAGTATATGGAAGTAATTATCCATAAATACTTTGATGCATGAGCTATTAAGCCCATGGTGCCTCTTTAACATTTTCTTTAATATGGATGCTTGAGAGACTTGCAAGCATCTCTCTGCAGATAACTTGAAGATACTCACATTTCTTCTTTTTTTTTTTTTTTGATGAATGATAATAAATTTATTAATTCAGAAGCTGATTTAGAGTGAATTCATACATCCCAGGAGAGGCACGAGCTGCAGCCCCTCCTTGAATCTTACAAGTAAACTAGGAAAGAAAAACAGGAATCACAGTTGAGCCCAAAACAATTCTTCCCTATTTACCCCTTGCTTGGCTAACACATCTGACAAAGTATTTGCTGATCTCCCCACCCACTGTACAATGACCAACATATTCCTTGTCAACCAACTGAATTTCTTCATTTCATTCTTGTAGCGCCACATAGCCTCTTCGGGATTTTTCAACCAATCCACCACCACTTTGGAATCCCCTTCGATTATTAGGTGTTGTACCCCCAGCTGGTTTGCAAATTGCACCCCTTGTACAGCAGCTAATAGCTCTGCCCTGATGGAGTCCCCAATTCTTAAGGGACCTAAGTAGAGCAACAAAATCTCTCCCTTCTCATTTCTCAAAGCACCCCCCATTCCAGATAATCCTGGATTACCCGTGCTACTTCCATCAAAGTTCAACTTCAGTGAGCCTTCAGATGGAGGAAACCAGCTTGTAATTGATTTGTCCTTTAGGGGTGAACACCTCGCTACTGCTGGCCAATTTCTCCAAAGGTCATTAAAGGAGAATTGATGAAAGATTTCCAAAGTCTTCAACCAAGGTATTGCCCTATTCAGCACAAAGTCTTTCAATTCCCGACTGCTCCTTTCCTTTTCTTGAAAAATTCTACCATTCCTTTCTTCCCAAAGAGTCCAAATCAAGGCAGCGTGAGCGCATCTCCACATAATTCTCCTTATTTTTGTAGGCCAAAAAAAAGTAGAATGGTTGAAGAGCATGTGAACTTCTGCTGGTAGACTCCAACTACTCYCAAACAACGAAAGTAGCCAAGCCCAAAGGTCTACAGAAAAGGGACAAGATATTAATAGGTGGTAACAATCCTCACCTTGAGCTCTATAGAGGATACAGCAATTAGGAGAAATACAGAGGAAAGGTCTTCTCTTTTGTAGGTTATCTAGAGTGTTTACTTTCCCATGGAATACTTCCCAACAAAACGCCAATAATCTTTGGGGGAACTAGCCTGCACAAAATTTCGTTTGACGGAAAGGGTTGTTGAGTAGAAAGTTGAGAGATGGAGTTGAAGAAAGAAGCACAAGTGAAGGTTCCATTGGGTCTAGGAGTCCACACCCTCTTATCTGACTTGGAGGGATCCAAACAAACCTGATTAAGACAACCAAGCAAGACAGAAAGAGATTCAATTTCATCATCCCTTAATCCTCTACAAAACCCAAGATCCCAAGTAGGATCTAAGGGTGTTCCCAAACGTGAGACAAATTTTGAGACCACCTCTTTTTTATACAAAGAAACAGAAAATAGCAAAGGGAACAGGTCCTTTAAAGGTGTGTCACCTACCCAAATATCCTCCCAAAAACGAACAGCGTTGCCAGAACAAACTTCATACCTGATAAAATTGAGGAATTGAGGAAGGGTGTTGTGAATGGCCTTCCAAGGTGCTACTAGGTTAGCCTGCCTTGATACAC